GGGGGGTAACCCCTCGTGTGTGTGTGTGTGTGTGTGTGTGTGTGTGTGTGTATCAGCTTGTCAATTTCTTCAAAATAGCTAGTTAGGATTTTGATTTGGATTATGGTAGAATGTAGGTATCAGTTGAGGGAAAAGAACATCAGTAATAACATTGAGTCTGAAATCGGTAAACATAGATCTTTTCAATTATTTTCTAAAACTAAACAAACCTACTGCCATCCAGTTGATTCTGACTCATAGACCACATACGATAGAGTAGAACTGTCCCATAGGAATTCAAAGGCTGTAACTTTTGTCAGAATAAGACTGTCATCTCTCTCCCATGGAGCAGCTGATGGGTTCAAACTGCTGACCCTATAGTTAACAACTGAGCACTTTAACTACTGAGCTATCTGGGCTATCAAATAATTTAGGCAATTACTGATTTTTTTTCAAAGAGTTATAGTTTTCAGTGACATGTTCCAATAGATTTATTCTAAAATGTGATTTTTAAAGTTGTGAATGTAATTTAAAAAAATTCTCTGTTGTAATTTTATATTTTCATATATATTTAAGAATCTCCTTGCCAATTTTTTCAAAACAGCCAGCTAGCATCTTGATTAGAATTATGTTGAGTCTAGATATCAATTTAGAGGGAATGGACATCATTAATAACTGGGAATATACTTAGGGTGGGCCTGACACAAGCCATGGTATTTTAAATTGCCTTATGTGAAAGTAAGACACAGAATAAGGAAGACTGGAGAATAATCCGTGCATTTTAATCACAGTGTGATGAAGAATATTGAAAGTACTGTGGACTTCCAGAAGAACAAACAAATCTGTCTCAGAAAAAGTAGTGCCAGAATGTTCTTTAGAAGTAAGGATGATTATTAGCATTGATCTCATGGACAAGCTACCAGGAAAGACAAGTCCCTGGAAAAGGACATCATGCTTGGTAAAGTAGCATGCAAAAGAGGAAGACCCTCAATGAGATGGATTCACACAGCGGCTCCAACAACAGACTCAGACATTACAACAATTGTGAAGAAGACACAGGACAGGCAGGGTTTCAATCTGTCATACATAGGACCAGTATGAGTTGGAACTAACTCAACTGAATCTAACAACAATAATTTATTGATGCTAAATTTAAAAAATTGAACAAAATACATATAAATTCTGTTTCACAACTTTTTCACAGATTTCAATGAAGACATCTATCTTGAAAGTTATTCTAAGCCACTTAATTTTTTTAAACAAATTAATTTTTGATGAGTAGTAAAAACTAGTGCAAAATTTTATTCATCTATACTTATGCTGAAGAAGGCATAGCAAATAATTTTTGGTGGGATAAATTTTATATTTGTGATATTATACTATTAATTAGAGTCTATAATATACAAGAAAGAAAAGCACTGTAATCTAATACTCTTTAGAGAATAATTTTTCCCTCTAAGCAGCAAAATTCTCTTGGTGTGGGTATTTTAAAAGACTTATTGATTTTCTACTGCTGCACTAAATAAACAAAGAAACAGTATTGATATTGTCACTGTGGTCGTTGTTAGGTGTCACAAAATTGGTTCTGATCCTTAGTCAGCGAATGTAAAACAAAACAAAACATGGACCAGTCCAGTGCCATTCCCATAATCATTTCTATGTTTGAGACCATTGTGTGTTGCAGTCACTGTGTCAATTCATCTCATTGAAGTTCTTCCTTTTTCCCATTCACCATCTACCAAACATGATGTCCTTCTCTAGGGTCTAATCCCGCCTGGTAACATGTCCGAAGTATGTGAGATGAAGTCTTGCCATTTTCGCAACTAAGGATTATTTTGGCTCTACTTCTTCCAAGACAGACATGTTCATTCCTCTGGTAGGACAGACATGTTCATTCCTCTGGTAGGACCTGGCTTATTCAATATTCTTTGCTAACACCATAATCCAATATATCAGTTCTTCTTCAGTCTACTTTACTCAGCATTTGCATGCATATGAGGGGATTGAAAATACCATGGCGTGGATCATAAGGTACCCAGTGACATCTTTGCCTTTTAACAGTTTAGAGAGGTCTTGTGCAGTACAAAGAGGCCCAATGAAATATTTTTTTTTATTTCCTGACTGCTGCTTCCATGAGCACAGATTGTGGATCCAAGCAAAATGAAATCCTTGACTTCACTCTTTTTTTTTTACTTATGATGATGTCGCTTATCAGCCCAGTTTCGAGTATTTTTGTTTTCTTTATGTGGAGGTATAATTCAAATTTAAGGCAGTAGTCTTGGATCTTCTTCATCAGAAAGTGCTTCAAGCCTCCTTCACTTTCAGCAGGAAAAATTGTGCTGCCTGCATACCTCAAACATGTCTTAATGAGTCTTCTTCCAATTCTGATGCCATATTCTTTTTCACTTCTCAGATTTTGCTGAGCGTATAGACTGAATAAGTATGGTGAAAGATACAACGCCGACACTTAGTTTTCCTGATTTTAAACCAGAAGCATTCCCATGTTATGTTCAATCAGCTGATTCTGGGTCTATGTACGAGTTCTTCATGAGCACAATTAATTGCTCCAGAATTCTTACCAATGTTATCCATAGTTTATGATTCACCCATTCTTTGCAAAGTCAGTGAAACAAAGCTAAACATCTTTCTGGTATTCCCTGCTTTCAGCCAAGATCCATCTGACATTTGCAATGATATCCCTTGTTCTTCCTCATCTAGCTTGAATCTCTGGCAATTCTCTGTCAATGTACTGCTGCAATCATTTTCAATTATTTTGAGCAAAAATTTACTTGTGTGTGATACTAATGACACTGTTCGATCATTTCTATATTCTGTTGGATCAGTTTTCTTTGGGGTAGGTACAAATATGGATTATTTCCAGGTGGATGTCCAGGAATAGACACAAAATTAAATATATTTTTCAAATGTTCAACAGGCATGAGGCTACTCTACAATTATGAAAGTGCCTCATTATCAAAATATTCGGAATGGAAAAGTCTATGGTTAGAACATATGTCAAAGAATTGGAAAATTCACTCTTATTAAGAATTTTTAAAGAAAGAATGTAATTAGATAGTACCAAAAAGAGAGAAATAAATTCTGTTATAACTATATGCAAAGATATTAATAACCAGTCACTTGATTGCTTATGTGCTTATGCGCATTATTATATGTTTGGTTTCAAAACTCATTATCTAAGCAAGAAGAGAAAGAATGGGATTAAGAAAGTAAGCACAGTATAGAAAGGTTCTGAATCTCTACCTCCATCTTCACAGTCTTCAGGGGCTTTGGCTTTCTTACAAAGACGGGGGTCCAGCCAGGTGGTTGTCTTGGTATTGTGGCTGTAGAATAAAGATCTCAATTAAAAACAGTAAAAAAAAAAAGTATTTAAAAAGCACAGACTAAGAGTGACTAAAAGAGATGTGGTGTTTGAACATTTATCTCCTGCAGGTTCCATCTGTGTACCTCAGATTCAATAATCCTTTGTGCTCAGCTCTGTTGTATCAAAACTTCCATAAAGTAAAGGTAATGCTGGAGGCACAAATTTTAGAATAGAGACTCTAAATATGGGATAAAATGCCAAGTACGGAATAAAAGACACTTACTTAAGCAATCAAAAATGTCTTAATGGTGAGTGTGTGTGTTGGGGCGGAGTGGGGCACAGCCACATGTAGAGCATCATGTAGCTGAAAAGGCTGCATTAAAAACCTTGCTTGCTGGATTCCTTGATCTTTCCCGTGAACAAACAAACTAACTATATTTACTGCGTGCCAATGTGTAAAGACAGTCTCTGAGTGGTGCAAATGGTTAATTACTCGACTACTAACTGAAAGACTGGTTTAAACCCACCTAGAGACAGCCAGGACAAAGCCATGGAGATCTGCTTCTGAAAGGCCACAGCCTGGAAAACCCATGGAGCAGTGGCACTGGGAGACACGTGGCATTGCTATGAATCAGAACGGCTCCACAGCAATGCCTGTGCTTTGTGTACCACGCACAGGGTCTGTGCTGGGCTTGGGGTATGGGGGTACTAATCAGAGTGAGCCCTTGCCCTCACAGAGCATGAATTTAATGAAGCCTCTTCAAAATAAAACAGAATCAAATTAAAAAATTTAAAGCGGCTGCATCTGCTACATTAGAGTACAAGTGATAAGGTAAAGAGTTAAACTTGACTCTACAAAATGAAGTTTCCATCAGCATTCACTACACATTTAGGGTGTGTGGGGAGAAGCTAGAACACAGAGAAATCACTTCTGCTCTCTGTAAGTAAGCCAAGGGTGCTTTTTAAGAGCAGTTTCAGTAGCATTTAATTAGTGGTCTGCCAACTTCAGAGAGAGCATCAAGCAGTAGATACTACTCCTGAAACAAAATCACCATGTTGATGAGAAGACAAGCAGTGTTAGTTTAAGTCTCTCTCGAGTGTGATATTAAAGAAAGGAAAAAAATCATGGAAGAAAACATAGAAAGGTACCAATTAAATTAAATGATAATTAAAAGTTATTACCAAAGTATTGAGAAAATAACAATGTAAACTTTAAACTATCTTTTCTTGCTGCCTTTAATATTACTCAAACTCACTAATCTCTACCTTGGCCATAGTTTTAGGGAATGAATCCTATCATCTATTACTTTTGTGACCTTGATCTACTTATAAAAGTATGCAGTCATTTCTCACCTATTACCAGGTATGATAATAACTGGTAGATTATGGTAGACAAACTTTTTTTTCCAAACTCAAACATGGATAAGCAATGTAGGAGACATTGATATTGCTTCCCAAAAGTCTGTTAACCACATTATCAGAGAGAGAATCTTCCCGAACTAAAACCAGTACATTTCAGCGAAATAGAAGGGATCAGACCTCCAAAGATTAGGAAATAAAAACAACAACAACATGGAAATACCTTGATAGAGCAAACTCAGAGAAGCTTAACCAAAGTGATTCACAATTAATTCCTAAGTCAGCAGATGTGGCCACCCCACTAGGATTTTACTCAATATTTCCCATGGTAAAGAAGTATCCATCAGAGTTATTCAACACTGAACAGCTAACTACCTATCCTAATGTTCTTTTCTTCCAACTGCATGTTCTTCTGGCAGTAGAAACAAAGCTCAAACATACATGAAGTAGCTATATTAAGCAAACAAAAAAGCAGTGGAAAATATTCAACCAGGACGTTTCTTTCCTTTTTTTAAAAGCAAACAGCAATACATTTTCTCACTGTTCAGGCGGCTTAATTCAGGGCACAGGCTCTATGGGAAGCCTTTCTCTCTGTTGGCTCTGGAGGAAGGTCCTCATCTCTTTCAAGTTTCTGCTTCGAGGCAATCTTCATGTGGTTTGGCATTGATCTTTACAGATATTTAAAACTTTCTCCCCTGTTAATGATTAACTTATTCTTGTTTAAAGGATGAAGTTCTATAAGATTCTGTGTCCCATAATCTATTTATAAAGATATTCAAGTCTCTTCTAATGACTCTGCATCTTTCTTCAGGATTTAGTTCTAAAGTCAGCACAAAAGTCGAAAGTCTAAATTATCCTTGAAACCCTCCTGAAATTGTCCATAGAGAAAAATATGCCTGATTTTGTCTGTCTTGTACAATCCTAGCCATTAACTTTGTATAAATATATAGTGTACTCAATAATGTTCCATAGATAGTAAAAAAAAAACAACTTCACCTAGTACAGTGGAGATCATCATTGTAAAAGAAACTGGGATTAATTGAGGGACCAGATTCAAGGCTCCCACCCTTAACTCATCTGAGTATGTGTTATTTGAGTGTAGTGCCCAGTTCTCCCTATTTAATTATTCAATTATTATATTCTGTAACTTAACAATATTACTATTTTACCTCTCAGTAAATGAAGGATCAGAATGACCACTGTATAATATAAACATTTTTCAAAATATATATATAAGTAAACATTTTTCATAACAAAATGTCTGATAAACCATTAGTATATTATTCTTCCTTGGTACAAACAATGTATTGTTTTAGGTTGTTCTAATGTAGTTGTATTCAACATCTCTATAGTGTTTTTCCCTAAAAATAGTTTAGTCTGTCTGTGAAGTTACATTGTATCAGTTACTCTGATGATCAGTGAAATTCTCCTTCTTTATTATATAACTAGATTATTGGACTTGACATATTAAACCAAGGCCCCTGGACTGAAAATATTTAGCTCAGATTATAAATATCTAGCTTCCTTCCCCCCTTCTCAAATGATGGTGATTCTTGAAATAAATGTTCCTTAGACTGGACAGTCTAACAAAAAGTTAGGGGGTTGGGGGAGAGTGGGAAGGAAGAAAAGGAAAACACCCTCTATTCTTTACATTTTTCTTTTTCCACTCCTTGGCCTGTGCCCATGAGGCTTGAAATCAAGGACACAGACATTTATTATTCATCCCAGCACCGGTCACAGTAGCCAGGAGAAACAACTCAAGTGTCCATCGACAGATGAATGCATAAACAAAAGGTGGCACATCCATGCAATGGAATATTATTCAGCCATAATGAGAAATGACGTCCTAATACATGGGTGAGCCTTGAAATCATTATGCTCGGAGAAATATGGCAGAGACAAAAGGACCAAGATTGTATGATTCCACTTAAATGACACATCTGGGGTAGGTAAATGCATGGAGACACAGGTTTATTGCCGTAGTTTCCAGAGATTAGGGGGAGGAAAAACTGGAGAGCTATTTCTTAAGGTTATGGAAATATTTAAAAATGAATAGTGGTGTTGGTTGCACAACATGATTGATGTAATTTATGCCACTGAATTTTACATGTAAAATGGTTATAACAGTCACTACCGTGTGATATATATTTTACCACTATATATATAAACTCATGGAAGCCAAGTTTTTCAGCACATTTTTAATGCAGTTTTTGTGGTAAAATGAGGTGCCTCGGCTCTTTACATTTTTCATGATTAGTGATGAACCTGTTTCTAATCCTCCTGCCTTTATAAAACCAGAGCTGAAATACACCATTTCTTTATTGCAGGCAAAGAACAATGAAATGTCATCTAGGGAAATAATCAGATTAAGAATCAGCTGTAACTAGTACGCAAAATTTCTGTAAAGAAAGAAAAAGAAATGGAAGCTTTGGAAAATGGACACACACATCCACGATGCGGGGAAAACAAATTTGAGAGCAGTTTCATGGTAGCCGGGCATGTTGGAAGAGATGCAGACATGTGCTTACTCGATGAAGTAGATCATCCCCGTGTCTGTGTAGGCCATCTCCCAGTTTGGGGGCAGTGGTTCTAGATTCTCGTCTCTCAGCATGTAAGTTCTAAAGTCCATGGAGCTGTTTGTTTGGTTGTAACTTGGGACGGTCTTCATCCAGTCAGATGTTTCAGAATGCCTCTCTCTGTTTTCTGCTATTCAAAACAGAACAGCACAGGATGAAAAGTGGGTAAAGTCACACTGGTCTTCACAAAGCCTTCTTGCTTTCAAACAAAATGCCAAATATGCCCTTGTGTCTGTTATGAACACATTCTTCTATATTCACTGACATAAAAACAAAATCAACATTGTAGATTTTATTCATTTGCTGAGTATCATTAACCTTGTACAGTACCTGAGATACTAGGTTGAGAAGGAAACAAATAATACTAGAAGCAATTTAGTATATTAGATCACCAACAGCAGTAGCACTTAACACAGTCCTTCATTTTAAGAGTTTACATGTATTAACCCATATGAAATCCTCACAACCACTCTCCCAGCATATGCTGTTTTCATTATCTCCGTTTTATAGATGAAAAAGAGTAGGCACAGAGAGGTTAACTTAGCCAAGAACACACAGCTAGTGAACAGCAAAGTCAGAATTCAACTCTAAGTGGTTCATGCCCTTATCTCCTATACCAGTGGTTCTCAACCTTCCTAATGCTGCGACCCTTAAATACAGTTCCTCATATTGTGGTGACCCCCAACCATCAAATTATTTTCGTTGTTACTTCAAAACTGTCATTTTGCTACTGTTATGAATCGTAATGTAAATATCTGATATGCAGAATATATTTTCATCGTTACAAATTAAACATAATGACAGCACAGGATTAATCATCAAACTATGTAATTATATATTGTGAAATATTTATTTCTAATTACAAATACATGAAATTTTGACTTGAAGCATGGTATAGCATGGGTAACAGTCTTCATGCCGGGTACTCGTAGGTGGGTGTATCCGCATGTGGGCGGCCCGCCTGGAGATAGATAGAGGAGCAGTGTCTTGGTTCCTAAGATCACTGGAAATATGTGTTTTCCAATGGTCTGAGGCAACCCCTGTGACAGGGTCGTTTGACCCCCAAAGGGGTCGTGACCCACAGGTTGAGAACCACAGTCCTATACCAAGCTGCCTAGTGCACATAGCACAGGCCTTAGAGACTACATAATAGCACATCAACAACTCCAAAGTGCAGGCAATGCCTAAGAATCAGAGAATCTTAGAAGAGGCCTTGAATATCATTAAATAGAATTTCTTATAGCACTTCAATCCCCACTATCCTCTATTCAGCCAAATCCTACACTCTATTAATCCTGAGTAGCTTTCACCGTTCCTCAACTCTGCCCCCTCTCCAGCCCCCTTCCATGGCCCAGTGATGTCTGTCCTCCTTGTTCTACTTTCCCAACTTAAATTTCACTATCAATCTATAGTTATTATCTGGATTCTCCTGCTCCAGCTTCACTTCATTTTATTTGCCTGCCTAAAGCAAAATCCTGTGTAAGTCCTATTCTTTCACTTACTCTTATGACTGCACCCATGCAGCTGACCACATGCTACCCGTCCTCAATTTAAATTCATCATCACTGACCTGGGCAAAAAGACCTGGTCTGTTCTAGTAGAGGTTGCAGCCTAAAACTCTATGGGGCAGATTTACTCTGTACCATAGGGCCTCTCAAGAGACCTGGTACTGCTGTGGGCTAGGCAATGGGCTGCTCACCACAGGGTTGGTAGTTTAAACCCATCAGCTGTTCCTCAGAACAATGAAACTGTCCGCTCCTATAAGATCACTAACATAAAATTGACTGGGCAGCAGTGAGTTTTATGCAATTTCTAAGAAATCACGGCAGTGTAGTGAATTACTAGTTGGGCTGCTAACTGCAAGGACAGTAGTTTAAATCCACCAGCTGTTCCCATAAAGATTTATAGCCTTAGAAATTGACGGGGACAGTTCTACTCTGTCCAGTAGGTCACTAAAAGGTGTCTATGAGCTGGAATCGACTCCACGGGTATAAGGTGGAATTAATTTGACATTGTACATCAACAGCAACAACTTCAAGTGGGCATCTGATTATATATGACAATCATGTTTCTTTAGTTGATTCATTCACACCTACCTAGGTTAACTATTTCATATTTTCTTTTTCCTCAAATCTTCTACTCCTACACTCTTAGACTTACTCTTGCTTGATGACCTTATTTCCTATTTCTGAGAAAAACAGTTGAAGAGAACTTCACTAAGCTCTTACCATTACCAGTAACCATGGTAATTCACTCCCTCTTCTGCTACTATGGAAGAACTGTTTGTGCTCCTAGCCAAAGGTAACCCTCCAGTGATAAGCCATGTCCCATCTACTCTTGCCTATAGCAATTCTCTACTCTCTCACCTGCACGCCCCCCACCATCTTTCCTTTCTAGTAGATTGTCTCTATCTACATCCAAGTTTTTCCTCTATTCGCTAAAATGAAAACAAATAGGATGCTTTCCCCTCTGGCAAGCACCCAGGTCTTTCCTCTTATGCACCAACTTCCTCGAAAGACTTATTTCCATTTCTGAAAGGAGTCCTACTGGTCCAGTAGTTCAGTGCATGGATGTAAACTGGAAAGTTTGAACCACCAATCACGCCAAGGGGAAACGATGTGCTACTCTACTTCTATAAAGATTACTGACTTATAAAACACACACACGTACGTACGTACGTATGTCCCAATCAACTCCATGACAATGGGTATGGGTTTGGAACTCCACTTCTATCCTTCAAATTTTCTTCAGAGTATCTTCTGATAAGGTTTTTTGGCCTTTCATCAATAAAACATTCTAATCAAGGTCCACAGTAACCTCACATAGTAAAATCCAGTGATAGTTCTCAGTTTCCAACTTACTTGAGCTTACTTCAGCAGCATCTGTCATAGCTGATCATTCTTTTACTTAACATGTTGTCCTTGTGTGACTTCCAGGACACTGCCCTCTCAGGAGTTCTCTGATTTCACAGGTTCTTCTCTGTCTTGATGACTTCCACATGTCAAATGTTTGTCCTTGGCCTTTTCTCATCTTTCTATACTAACTCTCTTGAGACCTCATACAGTGTCATTACTATATAAGCTACATGCTGACAGTGTCCAAATGTGAATTTTAAAATCAGAACTTAAGACTTTTAAATCAACTTTAAACATTACATTTCCAATCAGATCATTAATGGGGGTCTCAAATTTAAACATCCCACATTGAGCACCTAATAAACTCTTCCCTTGTAACCTCCAACCTAAACCTTCTTTTGCAATCTTTCCAATTTCAATAAATGCAATCCCCCCCTTTTCAGGTACTCCAGTAAAAAGTTTTGGAGTCATCTTTGACTCTGTTCTCTCATCCCTCACATCTAATGTGTCAGCAAATGGTCATTCTTAGCGCCTTTTATGCTTCCACCTGTCTACGTCACCATTTCATACTTAAACTCCTGTGATTGTCTCCTATCTGCTCACCCTGTCTACAAGTCTCATGCTCTTCTACTGTTTATTTTGAATCCAGTAGACAGGATGAGTCTGTTAAAACATTATTTTTCTGCCCAAAATTGTTGCTCATGTTAGAATAAAAACCAAAATCCTTCCAGTGGCCTGTAAAGGTCTATTAATATGTACCCCCTCATCCCATCATTATCTGTCCTCACTGGTTACATTCTCTTCCCCTCCAGCACTCTTCTCTAACCACACCAGCTCCACTGCTGTTGTCTGATTACTCCAGGCATGCTTCTAAGTATTTATACACATAGTGCTTTTTAGCTGGAAGTTTCGTCACCCTGATGTTTGGGGCTTGCTTCCTCCCTCCGTTTTAACAAAGTCCCTTTCTTAAGGAGGTCTTCCAAGCCAGTCTCTCTAAAGTGGCAAACTACCTGTTTGCTTTGGAGTTACTACTGCTTTTCTTAACCTCCTCTGCTGCTTTATTTATTTTTTAGTTACGTACCATTACCTAACTTACAAGCAAATAATACATACATGATTTACTTAAGTTAGATTGTTTTTGTCTCTCACTAAAAGTTAAGTTACACAATGAGAGAGTTTTCAATCTTTGTTCACTGATGTCTTTCCAGAACTCAGAACAATGCCCAGCAGTTTCTAGTAGCTTACTTGAAAAACATTTGCTGAATAAATACGTGAAGCATTCTCTTTTTTTATCATTTCAAGTATGATTCATAGCAGTTTGTTTTTGTTGATGGAAGGCAACTTCTGAATACATTTTTAAATGTATTATTTTTATCTGGAACTTTTTTCGTAGCTTCATTTATATTTAATATTTCCAGGAATTACAAATAGCACTCTATAAATCCATTTATCTATTCAAGAAATCTTTATATTTTTGATATGCAAATAATCCAGTAAAAATTATCTGGAAAAATATAATTTTTATTTTTCAGATTCTGTTTATTTTAAAGATAATTTTATTGTGGCGCTTACAGCTCTTATAACAATACATACATCAATTGTATCATGCATATTTGTACATTTGTTGCCATCATTATTTTCTAAATATTTACTTTCTATTTGAGCCCCTGTTATCAGCTCCTCTTTTCACCCTCCTTCCCCTTCTCCTACTCTCATGACTGCTTGTCTCTTTTCAGACTGATGAAGGAAAAGAACATAATTAGTAGGAATAATAATATGGTAATGGGTTCCATAAATTTGGGGGCAGATCAAATTCATTCATTTGGGGACACCAACTTAAATTTTATTTTTAAAATCTTTTTTAGTTCCTACTGTGTTTCAGGTATGTTTTGATGTTAGGGATAAAGGAATGGACAAAACAAGCAAACATTCTTTTTTTTTTTTAAACAAGCAAACATTCTAACACTAATTTTATATTCTAGTGTTTTGAATGGAATGACTACAATTAATATTACTGAAATTAATTCTGCTGAAATTCTATGGTTTCCTATTCCGAATTATTAGTGTAAAGAATAGGAGATTTCTATCATTGAATTTTAGTTTGTTTAACACTTAATGAAAAATATAAGCCATTAACACCAAATTTGGAAGTTTGCTTTGAATATATTCAGAATTTATGGAGCATGAACACTGGCATGGATAAGAGCTCTGGATACACGGAATCCAGGACAGACAAACCTCCCAGGAATAGTAATGGGCGTAGCAATACCATGAGGGTAGGGGAAAGGTGGGGGAAGAAGGGGGAAAAAAGGGGAACTGACCTCAAGGATAGACCTATAACCCACCCCCACCGCCCTGAGGGGGATGAACAACAGAATTGGGGGTTAAGGGAGACAGCAGACACTATAAGATATGAGAACAATAATAATTTATAATTTATCAAAAGTTCACAAGGGTGGAAGTGGGGGTGGGGAGAGGGAAAAACTGATACAAGGGCTCAAGTAGAAAGAAAATGCTTTAAATGTGAAAATGTGATGATGGCAACATATGTACAAATGTGCTTGATCCAATTGATGTATGCATTGTCAGAAGAGCTGTAGGAGCCCCCAATAAAATTATTTATTAAAAAAATTAAGAATTTATATTCAAAATACTATTGGCAAATGTCTCAATTTTTATAGGTATTACTTCTAAACTCTTGATACTTTATTTTGTTTGATGGCTATCTCTGAAAATGTGTAAATTTTTTTCAAATCCTATAAAGTAGTGGTTGGCCCAAAAGACTCTCATATCCCAGGATTAGAAATAAATTTTTATATACCCTTTAGATGGCAGAGTAATGGCATATTATACTAGTACTAATGGTAATTTGTAATTATATGGTAATAGTCAAAGTTTCTACTTTTGACAACTCGCTTCAGCCTGCAGGATGGTCTACACAGATACTTTGCTCTCCACACAAATCTTTCACAAATTCAGACTCCCACCATTGTGCTAAAAAAAAAAAGACTACATCTAATTTAATGCCATGGAAAAAAATCAACCTAGAAGATCAATTAGAATTTGTTTATTTATTTGCAAACCTGTGTTTCCACTGCCATTAATAGCATCCTTGTCTTCCTCTTCTTCCTCTTCAGGAAGAGAGCTGTCCATTCTTTCCATCTTGCTGACAGATGTGGTTCGTTTCCTTTGGGATTCTGTGTCAAACTCATTATCAAAGAGGACCTGATCAACTGGGTCCGGCTGGAAAGGGCTGGGTTCTGCTGGAGGCTTGGGAGTTCCATAGAAGTTTCCTGAAGTGGACAAAAGAGCAGCAGGTGAAAGTACTCATGCTGAATTGCAGGTCAGAACATCATTACCATTTCTCTGCCCTGTCATCTTACATCGACTTTTTTGAACACCCATCTTTGGCCATAAGGAGACATTACCTTTTTAAAAGTGATGGAAGGGGGTGAGAGGTAGAAAGAGAAGAAAGAACTAATTTCTCAAGCGCCTTTAAGAGTAAAGTCACCACATATTATCTCTCTCAATTCACACACCAGGTAGTTGATTTTACATATGTAGATAAATGTATTCCTAACAAGGCTTCTTTACATGGGTTCTGAATCAGGACACAACTTATGCATTTAAATGTGCTCATGTGTTCTCATGTAAGACTAACTGGTAGAAAAGGTGGGAGTAAAGGAGGAGAAAACAAACTTACATCATTTTATTCTTATGTGAAACATAATTCTTTCAGTAAAATGAGGAAATATGTGGGCAGGACATAGCTGCGAACTAATTGATTTGTGTTGGAATGAAGGCTGTTTGTACAAAAGCAAGTTTTAAAAGTTTTTCTGAGCATTCTAATTATATTACTTTATCTCACAAGTTATTGAACAAATAAAGAGTGGTAGTGTAATTCATTATTGGCTTACTCTAGGAAAGCAAGACATATTGAGCATCAGTAATTTTTTGCAGCAAAAATAAATATTCCAGAATAGAATGAAAACAATTGACATCTCAGTTTATCATATAATAAGGCATTCAAACACAATGGAAAAATTTCAACAGTTAAATATACATTTAAAGTCCTAATCTTCTGCCCCTTCCATACCTCTCCATCCTGAGGTAACCTCTATCCTTAAGTTGGTATGTGTTCTTTCCCTATTATTGTGTACATCTAGAACATATGTATAAGCATCTGGAACATACATATAATTATTTTCATAAAAACTTTATAAAAAAGTGTTGTAATAACATTTCATATTATTTTAAATAAAAACTAGCATATAGATTGTATCTTTTTGTAACTGCTTTTTATATAATTATATTTCTAAGATATATTCAAATTGATCATATAGATCTAATTAATTCAGCTGCTGTATACTAGTCCATTTCTATGAGCAAACCCAAATGTATTTTATTAGCTCCCCTACTAAAGGAGAGGTGTTCTATTCTCTCACTGTTATAAACAGCACTAAAATGTATCTTCTGCACAGAGTTTCTTAAGAGCAGCTAGCTAGAAAGAGAATTGCTGAGCCGTAGAGTTATGTTCATCTTCAAAAGTACTTGTTATTGCCCAGATGCTCTCCCAAGGGACCATACAATGTCACACTCTCAACAGCAGTGGACGAGAGCTGCCAACTGTCCACACTATCAGATGAACACATTTTTGCTAATCAAATAGTTGTGAAATCGTTTCTGACTATTGTTTCAATTTATTTTCTCGATAATTTCTAGAGCTGAGCATATAATAATATATAATATGTAACATGCTGCTCTGTCATGTACCAAGTTCTTAAACTGAATGGTAGAAATGCTAGGGCATATATTTGCAATCAAGGCCATAGAAGAACTCCTTAAACAAAACTTGGAAAGTATAAATCATAAAGAAAACAGTGATAACTTTGACAGATTCAAATTAAGAATTTTTGTTCAATAGAGAAACATGGGCATGAATAATAGGGGACAGAGAGGGAGATGGGATATGAAATATCTAAACCTACTTAGGAATTAATATCTAAATATCTGAAGGTATATCTAAAAGCCAGAATACAACAGGAATCACAGTTACAAAAGTTGACAAAGCAAATGTATCCGAAATTTTCCTATGTCTAAAAGACTAGTAAGTATATGAAAAAATACTCTGGCAATCAGAAAAACTAAAATTAAAACAAGATGCTACTCCTACAACCATTAGATCAGCAGTTCTCAACTTGTGGGTCGCGACCCCTTTGTGGGTCGAATGACCCTTTCACAGGGGTCGCCCGATTCATAACAGTAGCAAAATTACAGTTATGAAGTAGCAACGAAAATAATTTTATGGTTGTGGGGTCACCACAACATGAGGAACTGTAATAAAGGGTCGTACCATTAGGAAGGTTGAGAATCAGTACATTAGATTGACAAAATTGTAACCTGATAAGATCAATGGTTGACAAAGATATGGACCATATTACAGGTGCTACATGAACCCTCATACATTGCTGGTAGAAATGTGTAATTCCAAAAAAAAACCAAAACTATCTCGAGCAAACAACTCTGCTCTGACATAAACTATCCATAGAAATTCTCACACAGATCAATAAGAAGGTATATTCATAGCAGCTTTATCTGTGGTGATGGGGTGCTGAAAGCCATCTGGGTGTCCAGTAATTAGGTGAATATAATTAAGCAAAATGCCACAGATTCACTACGTGAAGAACTATGCAGCTATTAATTACATGCAATGTAAATGCAGTATAGCAAGATGAATGAATCTAAAGAACACAGTAATAATTGAAAACCATAAAAAATGAAATGAGATATAGAATACAGAGATACAATACAATGTAAGTAATAAATACATGCACACAAAAGACACAACAAACAAAACAAAAACACAAATATTAAACACATCAGAATGGTCTCCTATACAGAGAAGTTTGCATAAAAATAAAAACAAGTAAGCTGTCATTTTCTCTGAGAAGTCTTCATTGGCCATTTTATGGAACAAAGAGTATTATTTCCTTTATACCTCTTATTTTTGTTTCTTTACTAAGACTTATCTCAATTTTCAGTTACTTTGAGTATTTGTTTTTTGAAGGCCTGGCCTCTAAATTTAGGCATTATCATATCAATCTTGGTCATCACAGTACCTTAGCCTCTGAAAGTATTTGGCACATAGTAAATCCATAGTAAATGGCTGTTGAATGAATGAAAGAAGGGTCAAATGAATTTTTTAAAAAGTCAAATGACTGAATAAGTGAGTGAGTGAGTGAGTGAGTGAGTGAGTGAGTGAGTGAGTGAGTAGTGGGAGCTAAGCCCAGAATAGGCAGTTGGTCAAACTTAGTGGGCTGAAGGAAATCAATGAAGGTTCTGAATAGGATATGATCAACCCTTCTGCCTGAAGATGACTAACATGGTAGCAATGGACAGGGTAAACTGGATGAAACAAAGAAATGGTAACAAATAAGATCAACTGCAATAGTGCAAGCGAGAGCTGGTCCAGTGGGCCTACAATGTGATGGTAAAAGTGAAAAGAAACATTGTGGGAGCCGCTGCAATGAAGTGAGTGCACTAGAAAAGGTGAGCACATGACATAAAGAGGAATAATGAGGAATTCTTCTTTTAGATAGAACATAAGTGGGTATTTGGATATACTGAAGTTAAAATTACGTATTTATTGAATGCAATTTCTAGGCACTGAGGATAACATTGAGAAAACTGTATGATCACTGCCTTCACAGTGCCTGTAGATTCACAACTAAAATAACATGATAAAACAATGGTGAAGTGGAGAGTATTAGGGGAGTGGATAAACTTCCCAATCGACAGTGTATTCTACAAAAGAGAAAAACTGGATGTAACACAAAAATCATTTAAAACTTGAAATTTGATCTTAAATCTATTGGAGGAAACAGAGATCAAAAAAGAAGACCAGTGATTCAAGTCTCCCCTCACCCTCAAGCTGTATTCTCCTTTCTCCAAGAGAACCGAGGTATGTGCAGAGTGATAGAGTGAACAGATTTTAGATTCCTCCACAAGAGAAAGCAATCAACAAATACTTGCTGAGTTCAAAAATGAATGTGAATTACTAAGAAAGATTTAAACAGGCCAGTTTGACTGATTTTTTTGGGGTATATTATCCACAGTCAAGTTTATAATATGATGGCATATTTTTGCTTATTGTCTTATCCAATTCTACATTAGTAAATTATAAACTACCAAGTGAAAAGAAGAAAAAAGGAAAACTTAAAAAAATGGGGGTCTTTCACAGATCAAAATCTGTCTGAAATAATTCTAGTCATTCAGACAGTTGTCTGGGTTTTTGTTATTGTTAGTATTGGGGGACATACCATCATACGTTCCACTTTCTAACAGTGCTCCACTCTCTTCCAGTGCCTTGAACTGCTCAACAGAAATGAAATTATAGTCCACCCCTGGTACTTCCCCATCCCTGGGGGCCCTTGTAGTGCCTAAGGGGGAAAAAAAAGACAAAGAAAAAAAAAGTTGTAAAGTTTTTTTAAACTTACAAAGTAGAAATAGAAAAGTTAACCTATAAAGAACACAAGGGGAAACAGACAACTAAATATATTATACCCATAGGAGGATCAGAATAGTTTAGGCAAATTAACATTACGAGATGAAAGTAGGATAATTAATAATGTAGGAGGAATAAATAAACTTCAATAAAATCTGCTGGTAGCCATGAGATTTAAAACCACCAACACTCCAAAAATCTCCAAATTGTCAAAGGAGGCTTAACTTCCTGACAGAAAACAGTTCATTCTTCCTCTAAAGCTGTTATCACTTCACAGGTGAAAGGAGAGAGAAACCCACTTCCTCTAACTGGTGTGAGTGGCTGTCCTACTCTAACTGGTGTGCGTGGCTGTCCTACTCTAACTGGTGTG